ACACTTCTTTCCGTTTTCCCTTTGCCACCTCGTTGTATAATGCCATACTGAATAAAAAAAAGAGGAAAGCTGGGATTTAAAACACCCTGAATGTTCTTTAGTGTTTCTTAAAATACAACACATAGTTAAAAAGTACACAGTTTACAGCAGTAACATAATCATGGTTAAAGTAAACTTTAAAGAAATATGACCCGATAAAATTTAAATTCATGAGTATTCCCCAAACTCTGGTATTCCTAAATGTGCTCACAAACATGTAAAGTGCTGTTTAAACTTAAAATTGGATGCTCAAAAAAATTCATTCAGATTTCTGCTAAAACATGACCATGCAGGATGTAAGGCATGTATATTGTTATGGTAGACTAAATTGTGTGCTGAGTGCAGAATTCTGACAATATGCTAAAAAAAATGTAAAAAAAAAATGTTTTCAAGCATCTACATTAGCTTGCAGTGCTAACACTAATAAACAGTAAAAACGGGTTCATTTGAAAGATCGTCAGTTTTAAAAATATTTAGACACAAATCACAAACAGATTTAAAGTGACTGTGACATTCATATCCTTCAAATACAAAAAAGTCAAAGAGCATCTTTGTATGAAACTTGGCATAAAACCTTTTTTTTGTCACTGGCATTTTCTTATGAACTTGGTTCAGCCAAAGTGAAACAGGAAGTGACATCAAAGGGGAAATCTTTAAGGAAATGAACTCCATGATCTTTCTTTAAAACAATATTATTTGAACTTGACTCCTTCATTTCTCTGATGACTCAAAATAATCTAAAAAAAACCCATCAGATTCTTCTTTACAGTTTGTGTTAGCCATTGTAGCAAAGCTCTGTTTACATTCAGACAATCCCCTTTGTCACTTCCTGTTACTTCACAGGCAAATATCTCAACAACTGTTCATCACAGCAGTATTAAATGCTGTTTTTTATTTGCAATCAATTATCGGTGTTTTTATTACAAAAATTCATTCATATTTGCTTAAAAAATTTTGATGTCACARGCACTTTAACTCTGAAGTCATTGTGCTGTCAAATCAAACACATTTTTAAGAAAAAAAAGTGTTTTATCTCTTCATCTTCATTCTCTTTTGTAGGTTCAGGTAGTCTGCTTTAAGCATCCTCCAGGCTTCAGTGTGACCATGATAACTCCTTGGATAATTTTCAGTGCTTCTTTTTTCTAGTAGATAACGTGAAAGCAGGTGTGCCCTAGTATTTTCTAAAAGATTGTTGATAAATTTGCTGTCTAAAGAAAAAAAGGCCTTGAACAAATGAATGTTGTGATCTTTGCTCCTGTTTAACATGCAACTATGTCACTTGTGAGATCTTCACGTCTCCCCTCTGCCACGTGAGAATAAAGAAAGTCATTGTTTTCTTTCAGAAAAAAAATATGAATTCTTTAAATTCCGAGGATCACATTTGCAGAGCAAATCAAGCAAACCTAATGACTTGGATCCTGGTTCAAATGGCTACAATACAAATCAAAACAACAGATGAACCCTTTTCTGAAAAAAAAAAGGTGGCAATAATTTAATTTATATAGACTGTGGGTTCTTTCATCTCGTGAGTTCAATGTCTGTCTGTGAGTGAAAAGAACCATAGAAATGTTACACATTCTGATTTCCACAACCTGTGCAGAAACCAAGGTCCTTGACCGCGATTTTAAAAAAAGGTTCAGCACTTGATCGTGGGTTTTTTTCCACAGCATTCAGCATCCTGACTGCATGCTTTCCCCTGACTTGAAATGATATGAACTGTGGCTAGTATGGGATTTTATTGCAGCAGTTCAAGGATGTGTCAACACTGATGAATGCATATGGAATGGCAAGGATTTTCACATGCAGCATCATTAAAATAAAACAGTGCTGCTGCAGGTGTGGGTTTGTTTGGACCGTGGAATTCAAACAGCAGCATGAACAATCTCTCCTCGGGTAATATATGCTCGGGAAGAAAACTTATGCATCGTGTAACTCACACACACACAGGAATGCACCAAGTCTGCAGTGATGGAGAGAGAAAGTGAGGAGTTGAAAGGTTCAATCTAAAAAGATGGGCTRCGATTAGATTAGGGTGGCTGCGTCATGGGGGTAATAATCAGAGACATCTTTCTACAATAAATATATTTTTAATTTGTGCTCTTTTATTAACCAGCAAAATCACTTCAAAATGAATAGCACATTATTAAGTCTTCTAGTGGCTCTTACTGTTCTTTATCATGAGTTTGTATCACAGAGCAATTCATCTCCAGCCATTCTTCACTCCAAATATGTTTTATATGAGCCTTCATTTATCACGGCACGTCAGCCCTTAACTGTATCATTATTCAGTCTAGAGTTATAAATTGGAATCATTAAACRGTTTTTCATATAATCTGATGCAATAACTGCTCCTCCTTTATTGGCTTGTGAAAAGAAAATAGTAAATACAATTGTCTGTCAAGATCTTTGGAGATAGCCGTCTCTCTCCGGCTGAAATGAAATTAGGCCAGCCGAGGAGACAGGATCAATGTCAGCAGATTTGTTCGACTTTCATCGTGGAGGGGACAGGCGGTGAGCAGATGAAGGATGGAGAGAAAAGGAAGCTGACACCGCCGAACCCAATGAGAAATGTGGGCTATTGCTGTCAATGTTTTTTTTTCATAGTGTCACATCAATCAGAGGTGCCTTTGAACCTCCAGCTCTGCAGCTCTGCAGGGACATTTGTAATGGAGCTATTTCTGAATGTGTGGTCTCCGCGTTGTATTTCTGAAATGTTTTCATGGGAGGAGATGAAGTGATTAACGGCAACAATGTGGGGTCAAATGTTTCATCTTTGTTATCATATTCTAATCAGAAGAGGACCTTGGCRGCTTCGTCGGTGACGACCACATGTCCAATTAAAAACCAGCGGCCCAAATGCTGCACAATCTAAAAGATCTGCGAAACATGCCACAAAAAATCCTGTTGAGAAGAGAGTTCTGTTTGCATCCTAATGTTTTATTTAACAAATTGAACAGGCAAAAGGTCAGCAAAACAAAAAGTTGGAAAGTGGTGCAAATTTTGAAAAAAAATTGTTCATAATAAATACACAAACAATAGGTCTTAAAAGACTGAAACTATTTCTGCTGTGTTTTAGCATTCCCTAAAAAGATAACAATATAAAAAAACTTTATCTTAGAAACAAACCTGTGTAAARACTGCCACCTGCTGGCATATACTGACTTAGCACCGTTTTTATGTGTTCAAGAAGCATCTTTACACACCTAATAACCMCAATTAACTGCATTAGGGTGTTTTTCTGTTAAATATGTGACTGTTTCAAACAATATTTTCATTACAGAAATAAGACAAGCACAGAAATGAAATAAGAATGAAATCAAGGAAAGGAGTTGTTTTTTTTAGTCTTCTCATCTCTAGGCCTGTGCTGCCATCTGCTGGACGAATGTGTGACATGACACACTATGAAGTGTGATGTGTTCTGATTCTGTGAAATATAACTGCTAAATCTTTATTTAAAAAAATTGCTGAGCTGTAAGACAAACTTGCAGTTTGGATGAAAACACAAGGGACTCATTTTGTCTTGAAGCTCAAACCAGCAGCTCCCACCTGGAGCCAGACGGTGGTGTGTTTTCCCCAGGCTGCACCAGGTGAGCTGGTTTGAATCAAAACCAAGTAACTCACCTGTGAGCTACTGCTTTGATTCAGAGACGCAAAAACAAATTTAAACACATTTTAGGAAGGAAATTTAAAAGTTCCTATTACTTGCAAAGAGACGCATTGTTGAATGAAACAAGAACTCAACTGTTTTAGATGTGAAGATTTTAGTTTAATCATTTCCGAGTTCAAGTCCAAGTTTACATTAAAAAGTTCCATTGTTTGCAAAATGTTGAGAGCTCCAGACCGGTGTCATTTATTTACCCCTCCAGGCCCATATTTCCACCCATATGTTGAATGTGTTTATATGTAAACTCCCCTGAAAGACTGCCGGTCACTCCAAGGTTTCTGTTCCCAGTCTGGCACCGGAGCTGAGTCACGCTCTTTAATGTCACACTCAGGCCAAACTCAGTGTTTCCTCATCTGTGTGTGTGAGTTGTCTGGCTATGCAGGACTGCTCAGGATAAAACAAATATAATTTTAGATTGTGGCCCTTATACAACCTAACTAATTAGAGCGTTGAATATAAAATTGTCCAGAATAGAAATAAACGAAAGACATTCCTTGAAGGAATAATGCCAGTTATCATCACTGCCCGACTTTAAAACAAAGATCATCTCATGGATGAGAAATTGTGGCAGCTTTGATCAATCCCCGAAGACAGCATTAGCACAATTTTATGTGAGCTGTCACAAAATATGTTTTGAATAACTCCCAAATAAAAATACAAATGGATTAAAATCTGTAACATCGACTGAACTATAGCTGGTTTAACAGTTGCAGATACTCTTGACCCCAGTATGCAAACTTTGCTAATAACTCTGTAAAAATATTATAAACAAACCACTACGATATAAATTTTATTAATTTATGATTATTCCATAAAAATGCATTAATCATAAATTGATGTCTGGAAATCATCTGGGGACCCTCACTTGATGTTTCGTGACCCACAAAAGGGTCCCGATCCCAACTTTGGGAACCAGTGTTCCAGAATATGTTTGGCTCCTAAACTTAATTAGTTGTGGATGTATTTCCTATTAATATATCACTGAAAGTTTCACTAAAATCAATCCAATGGTCCTTGAGATATTTTACTAACAGACACAATGATAATTAGAATAAATAAATCAAATAAAGTTTGACAAACTTTCAACTCTTAGAATATGTGTTGGGAATCAGTCGAAGCTACAACCACACCAAATTTTAAATCAGTATCTGTAAAACTAATGATGCACTTTTTTGACTTTTATGATCATTTGGCTGCTATTTTTTTTTAGCTGTTTTACTAATTTTAGTTTTTTAACAATTAATGCTTTTTCAATGCATTCACACTGCATTTCTTGCAGAAAAACTTGCATTAAAAATACAAAAGATGAAGAGCTTTTTAATCATCTCCTAACAAAAACATGTATTTTCCACCCAGATCATTGCCTCCAAAGTGTTTAAAAACTGTGATCATTACCATACATCCGTTGATGTTTACTGTAACTTTGGGCTTATTTGTGTGGGTTTTATACTTTTCTCAGAACAAAAAGGTGTAACCGAGCCCACAGTTTCGTCAGTGCTGCTGATGATGAGATGAACGACCAAATGCGTGTCCTCAGTCACCCGTGACACACGTCTTGTTAGACAGGCTGCTTCTGCAAATATGTCATCACTTTGCACTGTCTTGTTGATAATGATTGCAGATAGTATTTGCTCCTCCCTGAGAACTTCATATGACCTATGGTGCTGGGAAGGGGGGAAAAAAAGCAAGTGTTAGGAAGGTTTTTGCATAAAAGCACAAAGGACAGATCTTTTTACGTTTCTCAGCTGGCTCTTCTGTCAACTTTTAAAAAGTCTGCAAAATCGATTTAAGTTTTGCCAGTAATTTCAGAGATTGAATTTTACTCATAAAGCATGACAGTAGTTTTTTATTTTTCTGAAAAAAAAGTTTTTGAAAACATCTTCACCTCTATCCCACATTCAGCTGGAAAAACAGAATTCTTTCCCCCGATGTGTGTGCGGGGGGAAAGAAAACTATTAAAAGTAGCCCATCAAACCTGTCCTCCTGGGCCTGCTTTCACTTGTCTTGGTTTCGTTTTAGAAAACAAAAAGAAGAAGGTAGAGAATGGTTCGAGATGAATCACGCGAAGACAAGGAGACAGTGACAAATCAGCTTCAACTCAAACATTTTAGCTGCAGAAAGCTTATAACGCCTCGCTTGGTTTGGTCAAACAGTCTCAGAGGAGTGGGTATCATTTACAAAAAAGTTCTTGGCTGACGGGTCGTACCACTTACACTAACTTATCTCTCCCTGCATTAACACTTGATACAGCAAGCTRAAGTTCTGACAGAGAAGCTGAGAGGGGATTTCTGGGTTTCCTAAAGTAAAGGTCAGGTGGTTCAAACAGGAACAACGTAAGTAATAATCTGATTTTTAGTCATGATAAGTGACAGGATTTTTAGTGTAAAAGTGTGATCATAAACAGGTTTCATCTAAAATCTGACAGTCAAATCCAATATATTTTRATTAATAAGCATCCCTTGAAGGAATGCGTATTGCCAGAGCTTTAAGCCAAGAGTTTCTACCGTTGAGAACTGCAGACTGGTCGTTTTGCTCAAATAAAAATAACATTTTGCACAATCTTGTGTCACATTTTKCAAAACCTTTGTTTTGAAACTTTAATATTTTCTGTTTGATTCCACCCTATAATCAAAATACATCATGCATGATGTTAATTATAGGCGCTGTCATTAAACATTCATGATGGAAAATRAATACATYTTCAAACTGTCATTAAACTTCTGCTTTTAGCAAAGGAAACTCTCAGAATTGCAGTTCTGCCAAGTAAAGAATCAGCTCTGTGATCCAAAAAMRTTGTTGTGTGAATGCTTCACAGCATTCACCATCAGTTTTTCTTCCTCATGTTTCTCAGCATCTAACTCATTTCACAATTTTTGTGCTATTTCAACAATTCATWCATATATCAAAACATTCAGCTCATTCATGTGAGGGCTGCTATGACGCTCGGCATTTCAGCTAGTTCTACTTTTTTAGCTATACTTTTTTAGCCACTTTTTATCATTGAAAATGAATGGAGTTTTCAACAGCCTTAAAATCCTTTAAAATGTTTCTAAATCTTTACAGCACCTTACACTTTTTRTTCTGGTTATGCTCTTTTTTACTTTCTTGTGCTAATTTCAGCTACTTTTTTGYTAATTTTAACTTTTTTCTGCCAATTTAGCTAAAATTCTGCCTTTTTCCACTATTCTTCTGCTTTTTCTACTTTTTTGTGTTTTTTCTGACGCATTGTGCTGTTTAGGCTTCTTACAGATGCTTTCTGATATATTCAGCTATTTGCTGAARTTTTAGCTAATGTTTAGCTGTTATTAGCTAAGGTTAGCTTTTCTAAGCTAAATACACATTTTTGTAGCTATTACAACATTTTTTAGCTAAATTCAGCAAACCTGTGTTCCTTACGCTTCCTTATGCTAATTAAAAAAAATTCCAGCTACTTTTTAGCTGTTTTCCTGAAAATTTTGGCTGTTTTTGCTACTTTACTACAAATTGGCACTTTTATTTATGATTTTTTCTGTTTTTTTTTTTCCAGCAGTTTCAATATCTAGGTGCTAACTTCAACTTGTGGCTGCTATTTTTAACTTATTTTATGCTAATTTAACTTTGTTTCCTTTTTCAGTTGTAGATCTGCTTGTTTTTATTCTGCTTTTTCCAACTTGTTGATAAAAGCTCATTTTTACACTAGCTCATTTGTGCTACTTATGCTTCTTACAAATGTTCTCAGCTATATTCAGTTATTTTAGCTCTTAGCTTTTAGCTGTTTTCTGTTTTTTCAACTAGTTTTTCTGCAAAGTTAGGTTTTCTCTTACTTCTTTCAGCTTTTCGAAGTAAGCTCACATTAACACTTTTGCTGTTAAGTATTTTCAGATCAATTTCATATACATTCAGCTCAAGTTTTCAACATGCAGCATTCACACTAGCATTTTTGCAGGAAATGCAACTTTTCCAGTTTTATTTGTTTTAATTCATTTTGAAGCCTTAATAATCTTTTTTTTTCCTGTAGGAGGAAACACTTGAGTGCAGACTTCCATCTCTAGATGTTTTGAGATGTGGCAGCAGGTTTTGGTCCGCTGCATATGGGCCCAGTTCAAAAGCTCCACAAAAGCTTCTCCTTGGAGATAATTGTACCATGAATTAAACCGCAGAGATCTGGATTTATCAACACGGTTGTTGACAACAAGTTTCCCTCCTCCTCAGATGTTTCATTGACCCACAACATGATAGCACCGAGCAGCACAAAAGATAACACTAAATAGCATCAGCTAATTCACCATGTTGAACACAGTGTCTGAAGTGTGATGGGTTAATGAACTGATGGTGTTTGGAAGACGGTGACAGATGTTACGAATTTCAGCACGACAGAATTTCCTCTAATTAGTGAGGATGAAGAGAAGTTCTTGACGTTTCACAACACAGCAGGTTGCCCAGGCAATACGCCGAAAACCCTCTGGCCAAAGCCCATAATTAGCTGTAATATGGGCGCTCACAACTCAAATATGGTTACATCAACACTGACATTGAGCAACTTGGTATTTCGTTTTACATTTTCCAAAGCTGTTCCAAAGAATAACATCATCACATGTGGGCTCCACCACACACGCCATCATCATCGCGGCGCCTGTCAACACCGTTTGACATGACTCATAATCTTACTTGTAACTGTTACCACAAAACTTTTAGTTGTGCAACCCCAGGCTGTTTAGGCTTTTCTGTTGGTCTTCAGCAAGATAAACTTGATGTTCAATTAGAATCTTATGTCTGATCAAATAAACACTAAGATGAATTTGAATTTTACATTTTAGAAATACATTAGATGTATAAATCCTCTAATAATTCATATTTAGCAAGAATTGGGTTATTTTTAATTTGACTTTCATTCATTGTCAGTGTAGAATCTTAAGTCCAGTTTAGATGGAATTGTACATTAAATTAAGCTGAATAAAAAGAAGCATATTCCACTTTAACTATAATTTTAGGTCTGGTAAAATTACTATATTTACTTGTAACATCCAATTTCCACATTAACAATTAAGTGATCTTAATTAATTGCTTCTCGCTTGTTATTATTTACAGCCCCTTATTTATATAGCATTATTTAAATATTATACAAGATTACGTTTGAGTTTTGTTTTTATTCTTTTTGTGATTTCTTTTTTTTATTATTTATTTATATATTTTTTCCAGCATTCGGTTTTTCCATTGGATTACAATGGACATAAATATTCTCACTTTCTTTTGTTATCCGAGTATTACTAATAGACGTACTATGATTATTACTTAACAAAATCAAATCAAACGTCAAATTAGGTAATAGTTTGACCTATGTTTTTTTTACATTATTTCATGAAATATAGCTCGTATTTTAACAATCGAACAGTCGATGATTGTTATTGTTTTCTAATGTAATACAATATTCTGCTTTACTAACTCACCAGAAAGCTGAAAACKTTTGCAACTGCAACAAAATATCTGTGCGGTTTGGCAGAGAACATCTTTTCTCTGATTGACCTCTGACAGAGTTTGACACAAAGCGGTGAGTCAGGATCAGCAAAGTGTCAGTAGTTGTTGTTTTTTTCATGCTCAGTCGTGTCACTCTCACCTGTCACCATTTGTGTTATTTGTTTAATCTCACCCTTTTTTCTTTCATTGGCTCTTTCACAATTTTTGCTGAGAATGTTGCATTAAATGTTCAACGCTTTTAAACTGTTTTTAAATAAAATAATCAGAGCTGTAATCAGAAAGCATTTTTGCAGTTTGATGCAAATCACATATTTAGATTTTATTGTTAGAAAAAAAACTTTTGTGTAAGATTAAGTGGAACATAGAGTCTATACATTTCTTGTAATTTATTTTTTGCATCTCATTTCGAGTTATTTAAAATACAAAACTTTGTGTTTCATTCAAAAATATTTAAAACACTACACATAATTACAAAAATGAAGGCAGAACTGTAACTATAACCCAGAATCATCTCACCACCTATGAGCTTTATCTCTTGGTTGTTTGGAGATGGATCTGATCAAACAATTATGCAGAWCCTTTAACAGAAGATGTTTTACATGCACACCTACACTATGTTTCGTTGGYTCATCTACAATATTTTTGCTCAAATAGAACCTCTACATAATTTGTAATCGGAATCATTTATRTCTTTGTTTCCACCACTTTGTGACCAATATCTTGATCGGCGTCAAAGTGCGTTAAAGTGTGCAGTTTTCTCACTGCTGCAGTCGTAAACACACACTCAGCTGAAAAGAACAAATTAGAGTATAAATCACAGCACTTTTAAAAACAAGGTGAGCAATCCTAAACAGCCCATTCAGTCAGGAAGGGGCATGTTAGGGAAAATGGAGGAGCTGTGAGGGACTTTTTTTTTCTTGGCCAGCAAGTCCAGGCTTGGATGCAGGCCTGTCTGTCCCTACTCAACTCAAACATGTCAAACTTTTCACCACCAATATGATAGAGTGAAGCTCAGCCATTCCTTYGCAGAAGCAATCTCTGCCATGAGACTAATTTGTATTCATGGTTAACTTGATGAGACTTTTTATTTCTCTGACCAGGTTTGACTAAACCCTGGTCATTTCTCTTTTTTTTTTTTTAACTTTTACGCTCCCAGATCTGGACTCAGAGATGCCCGGCCGGTTAATCCACAGGTGTCTGGAACAAACAAGTCTCCATTATGCGGACACTGGACTCCGTTTTTAAAGCTTTCAACAGATCGCCACCGTTACAGTCAACCACAAGCAGGAATGCATGCGCGTTTCAGGAAATCAGCACAGCTCTCTTATGAGAAACGTGAAAGCGTGGCTCTAGCTGGAATATACTAAGAACACCCAAAACAAACCCATTTCCTGACCTAACTGGCACCCACAGCAGGGTAGAAATAAGGGAATGTATTTATGAGCATCTGGCTGTGGTTCAGTGAGGTCAGGGCACTGATATAGCAAAAGGAAACATCTTTGCACTTCTCTGTTTAAGAAGAAGCACTTTGACTTTATTAGAGTTTGTCTCATTGGGTAAACAACAAACTTAAACGTCTCCTTTTCAAAAGAAAAAACACTGAAAAGCTTTTGCCTTCGTTTTCTTAAGTTTTTCTCAAATGCAAAAAACCCCAGACTTTGTTACTTTGGTGCTTTGTTGACAGCATCCAATCCATCTTTGGAATTTCTTTGTCAGAAGAAAGCAATCATGCTGGTAACACTGACTGATATTGAGCTCGGCGTTTGAAAGACGACACACGGTTTTCATAAGCCCATTAATCTCAAAAGGAGTAACTGTCAGAAAACATACAGTACCCCCATCCCTGACATAAAAAAGGCCTCTCCAAGGCCTTGATTTCTGGTTTGGCGGAAAACAATATCACACTGCTTCTGACAGAGGCCTTGAATGTCCTCTTACACAATTTTCCACTGAGGATCTGGCATTCTTAAGCCCAAAAAGGACAGAATCACACAGCCACTGTAATCTGAATAATTCATGACACACAAGTGGATTTACCGTTCAGTACGGGTCAGCTGAGTCAAGACTGCAACGATGTTGTTACAGGTGTCTTTACTGCAAAGTGAAGAAATTCACTTCWGATACACGGCAAAAGGTTTGAAGTTAAAGGTTGATCACAAAGGCTGCAGCAGAACTGTGGACTGCAAAATACAAGGTTGATGTTAGTTTCCACATGTGACCTGCTGTTTTTGACTTTCTGGGCTGATTTCCAAGTAGGGCAGCCGTGAATCAGCCATGAACGGAGTCTGAAGTGCTCCAAAAGCAATTAAGGTTCCTCCTCTTAATTGACAACAGATCCAGTGAAGCAAAGCCTGACTGCYAAACAAAAACCATGCATGGGAGGATAAAAGCAGCGTAACAAACTGAGCAGTCTGTATACATTGTCTGACTCGAGAGGTAATGATGTCGTAAGAAAACAAATGAGCTTTTATGAAACAAGAAAGCACATAAAATTTCATTCCTTTTTTATGTGAAACATAGCTATTGTTCACAAAATGTTTTAATAAATTTACATCCCAGCAAAAGCAAAACAARAACAAAACACTGTTTTGCACCCTATTTGAACTGAACCTAAAAGGACAAAAAACAAGTTTTATCAAAGGTTTTAACTTTCAACATGCAGGTTTGTTCTGCTGATGGCCAAAGAGGGCGCCCTTCATCATGTTTYCACACTTAGGTCGCCTTGTGACAAAATATTTCAGCCTTTAATGAGAAGCTTCACACAGAAATATAACCTGGCACTGGTGCTCATTTATGATGATAAAAAAAAAAGTAAAGCAGACCATAAAGAACTTAGCACAACTGAATTCATTATAAAAGATATGAAAATTTTCAAGTTCCATATAAATAAGTTGAACATTGTTCTTCTGCTGAAAATAGTTGTTTTTGCATGTTTATCATTTAATGGTATGTTTTCCCTCAGAATGATGTGTATCATGATAGAT